GATTGGCATCGATTGGCCTCGACAACACCGAGGACAACAGACAAGCTTACAGGGAGCTCCTGATCACCACCCCTGGCCTGGGATCTTACATTTCTGGCGCGATTTTGTTCGAGGAGACGCTCTACCAGTCGGCGAAAGGAGGCAAGACGTTCGTGGATTGCCTCAAGGAGCAGAACATCGTGCCTGGAATCAAGGTCGACAAGGTAAGACTTCTGATCTCTTTCTTTCCTTTTGATCTAACACTTTTGATCTAACACTAGGGTCTCGTTCCACTCGCTGGATCCAACAACGAGTCGTGGTGCCAAGGACTTGACGGCTTGGCTTCTCGCTCAGCTGCTTACTACGGCCAGGGTGCGAGGTTTGCGAAGTGGTAAGCCTTGGATGGATTTCTAGTTTGTCTTGACATATTTTTTGTTTGTCTAACAAACAATGTTTTTTCTATCAACAGGCGAACAGTCATTAGCATTCCAAACGGTCCTTCCGAGCTAGCAGTGACTGAAGCCGCTTGGGGCCTTGCTCGTTATGCCGCCATCTCTCAGGTTGGAACAATCAAAACTTTGCCTTTCACTGATCGCGTTTGATGGTTCCTCTCAGGACAATGGATTAGTGCCAATTGTTGAGCCTGAGGTTCTCCTGGACGGAGAGCACGGGATTGACAGGACCTTGGAGGTTGCAGAGAAAGTCTGGGCCAAGACCTTCTACTACCTGTCACTGAACAACGTCCTGTTCGAGGGTATCCTCTTGAAACCCAGCATGGTCACTCCCGGCGCAGACTACAAGGGAACCAAGTCCACTCCCCAGGAAGTCGCCGACTACACGCTCAAGATGCTCCACCACAGAGTTCCCCCCTCTGTTCCCGGCATCATGGTAAAGTTTCTCCTTTTCAGTTCCAAAATCGAACTTTTCTCATGATTTTTCTTTGCCAGTTTTTGTCTGGAGGACAATCCGAGGTGGAGGCGACGCTCAACTTGAACGCAATGAACCAGAGCCCCAACCCGTGGCACGTATCCTTCTCGTACGCCCGTGCTTTGCAGAACACGGTGTTGCAGACATGGAAGGGACTTCCAGAGAACGTCAAGGCGGCTCAAGACGCTCTCCTTGTCCGGGCCAAGGCAAACTCCAAGGCGCAGCTCGGCCAGTACACGGCCGAGGGAGAATCCGACGCTGCCAAGAAGGAGATGTTCGAGAAGGGATACACTTACTAAGAAAGATCGATCGAGCGAGCGAAGAACAGCAAGTTCATTCATGGCGACAAAAGAGACGATCGATCGCAGCGAGGCAGTATAACTTTCTGGACTAATAAGAAAACAATTTTTATGAGAAACAAATTCCAATTTTTATGTAGTTTGCCCCTTAATAAACTCGTCACCGTCTGTTAAAAAATCGATCTTGGCCGTCGGCTTTATAGCCACGTGTTATTACAGCTGATGTTTTTTTCTTTTTTATATGTTGTGAGTTGTCTTATAAGGAAGAACAAGCTCTCTTCGTTTTGGGGAATGGGAAGGAATCTAGACGCGGACGATCGCGAGAGTCATGATTATAATGGAGGCGAGCGCGAGGAATCGAGCAAGATGAGTACCAATTCTCCGCGACTAACGCTGCCGCTGCTCAAGCGCGTCGAAGATCTGGAGCTAAACGTGAGTTTCAATTCGTGGGTTAAAGATTGCAATGTTTCATTCTCCTGCTCCTGTGGAATTCTTTCTCCCCAGATGAGATCACTGGAAGGGCGTTACAGTCCGAGATCGGTGATTGTGGATAGTGGCGCCAATTGCTGGTCTTCGTCGTCCGCGCGATCGTCCAGCCTCTCCACTCCATCCAGCGCCAGGATCAAGCCAATCCTCGATGCTCTGGAGGAGGTCGAGGAGAAGGGAACGCTGGTGGAGCGCGTCGCGCACTTGGAAGATCGGCTAGACACGGTAAAGTGCTCGGATTTCTCCATTTCTCCTCGAAAAGCTCTCATTTTCGGCCTAGAATTTGGGAGAATTGGGCAATTTCCCCACGCTCCTGACGATCGCACCTCGTGAACGCAGCTGAGCATGCATCTCCACAGCGGGGAGTGGACAGCGGCGCAGGTTCCAGCGCTGACGTCACCAGCAGCGGGGAAGGCGGCTGGACACGTGGCAGAGGCGCGGCCGGAGGATGCTCCAGCAGGGCGCGGCCAGGTACGATCAGCGATGTCTAGAAATAGGAAGAATATGCCGCGCTGGCGCGCCGGCATTGGCTTAAATGCTATGGGGGCGAGATTCTCGTGGGGCGTTTGAAAATGGGAGCAGCGATTAGAATTATTGTGATAGTTGGCTAAGCAACAGAACTTATCAGTGTTAACAATGTTTTTTTGTTGCAATGCAGAGTGGCGAAGAAACCAATCCCCAGAAGGTGAAGAGGAAGAATAAAAGGATATCAGAGATGCTGAAGAGTTGCTTACATCCAGTACCATCTCACTGAGTGTGCAAGCTGAAAAAGATATATAATCATATATCAGTTATATTTTGGATATTCTCACCCCCATGTGGCTCGGATTTCTGCCACTCGTACTTGCTGCCAACGGGTTCGTGCATGGGTGGCTCTCTCCCAATTGATCCAGGCGATCAACACTAACTCTTTCACCAGCTTGTGACTGCAGAGTATCAGTCCCCACGATGGTTTGATAATAAGTAACCTCTTGTTAGAATGATCTCACGCATTATGTTTCCTTGTATGTACCACGGTTACTGCTGGATGATCTTGACACTGCGTCCTGGCCCGGAAAATCTTGTTGCATGGATGGCTCACTCTTGGTCCCTCTATACCTTGCTTTTTACTATGAACTCCCGGTATAATTATATTATATTATTTATAATATATCCTGTATATACTGGAGAATTTACATAAAGGTCATGAATTCTTTTGAGTAAGGTATATCAAGAGAAAACGCTTTGATCCTGTCACAGTTACCCGCCATATGGTTCTGTTCCATCATTGAGTCCGCCTCGGCAAATATGCAGAGCCCCACCTTGTGTAGCTCTCAACAGGTTTGGTCCAGTCCTCTGTCCTCCGATTCGCCTAGCATCTTCCTGGTAAGTGTGTTCAAGAAAATTGGTTGGTGATCCATCTGTTCCTTGGATCAGGGCCATTTTAATTTGAACTTGCATTTGAACTGAGGCCATACGTTGAAGAGTTTACCAGAAAAAGTGTGTGCATTTGTCATCTTGAGAGGAGCGTCTGAGAAGAGCTCTGCACTAGACAAGCTGTGTGAATTGCTGATTAGGCTGTATGTGGAGGATCACAGCTTGGGATCCGGTTCCTAATTCTGCAGTGTGTTCTTTCCTATCTGGGAGGACTTTGAGGAATTGGTCCTACAGCAAGACCCTCCATGGCTGGTGTCCAGGCATGAGCAGCCTCATGAAGATTTTGAACAGGAGTGCCTCGATGATGTTGAGGCTGCCTTCGTGCTTAGGGTGTGTGACCGAGTGCTAGTCGACTTTTGCACCACCTCGTGATACGCATGAAGACCATCAGCTAGTTTATTTCGTGGATCATTTATTTATCCATGATTGTGCCGAGCAGGATGCTGTTCGCTACCATACACCATCCCGAGAATAAGAGCTTCTTGCTTGCCCAGCTTGAGTTGATCCCAGTTTCAGCACCGCTTTCTGATTCTGAGGTTCTGGCTCATATTGCCAGCTGATCTGGAAGCTGAGGTAGTGATTTTGTCTCTTCTAGGTTCAGCCACGTGAGCTCAGTGTCCATATCTTTTGATCTCAATGCTTCGTTGAAGTACAGGTCGCAGGTTTTCCGCGGAGCCCTCTGTCCCCAGTCCTATGTCATCCACAAAGGCTGAGGGAAGAAGATTCTTTGCCACCTCTTGCATGTCCTATAGGGCAGATTGACAGCTTGGGAGCACAATACTCCATCTCTGAGGCTGGAAGCTGAGCTTTATTCCGGGCCCTTGGATCATCTGTTGACGAATCGCAGCTATTGAATTTTCTGCCAATGATTCCCAGCGCACTCCGGCATGCGATTTGATTCACGATTTGGATTGATCCCAAGTCGGCAAGAAGAAATTCGGTGGGATCTATAGCATTGAAAGCCATTATGAACTGAAGTTAGTGACGTTGAGAACTTGTGCAGTGCTCATTTTTCAAACGGCTTGAGATAACTGTGCCCGTGAACTTTTAAGTGTTCTCCAAAGAATCATGTGGATCTGGCCCTAGTTGTGGTGAGGTCAGTCTAGAAGAGAACCTCCCCATTCCTCCGGTGGATGTTCATGGCACAGCCACACCAAGTCTTGTGCTTTTGCTTTAGGGAGTGGATTTGGCAAACTTTAAGACCTCTCAGCTTTCTTTCTAGTGCTTCCCACTACTTAACCCCTTGGCCCAACGCTTGAGTTGTGGAACTTTCGGATCCAGTGATCCTGGGACGATCTCTTCACTGCCTAAATGGATGTGCAGACCTACTTTTAGGCAGAGTGAGCTTGAGCCAAGGGACTTGCTGCAGGTGGTGCTGGCAATCCGAGGGAGAAGGGACAAATAGGGTGTGCTTTTGGGATTCACTAGGATTTGCACAACCAGGCTAGGCATGAGATTGACGAGATGGTGCCATGTTTAACCAGATTCATCCCAAGTGAAGCTGAGGAGCAGGTGGAAGTTGCAAGATGATAGAGGTGAGCTAGGAGGCCCAGTCCAATTTTGTTAAGAAGGCTTCTATTATTTATTAACCTCTAGAAAACCATAGAGGTGCGGTTATAACATGCTTGAACGAGCAGGTTGGGAAATGGGGGAAGTGGTGAGGGGGACGAGGTTAAACTTGAACTTCTGTTAGTGGACAATGTGTCCTAGAAGCTTGAATACCTTTATGAAGGACTCAAAGATGGTATTAAGAGCAAGCCATGCCTCAGGTAAGATTTGCAAATTTCGTGAGCAAGAAGTGTGAGGAGTGCTTTGTGGGTCATTGCACTTTGAGTATATTTTGTTTTTCAACATGATTGGAGAGTTCTAAGTCCAAAACATGTGATTTGGAGCCAAGAATGAGGAGGTCAAGGCATCCATGATATATAAAGTTTAATAGTGAGAAGTTATGCTAATGAAAGTTTATGAAGTTCAAACAGTTTAAAATATTTAAAGTTCAGGACATATATCAAATTTAGGGCTTTTGCCTGATGCCAAATGCACAAAGTTTCAGAAGTATTATCCTTTCCTTCCTTATTTGGGGCAAACTACATAAGAGGAAAGGATGTTTTATTTGCACGTATGGCAAGAACCCTTATGGTTCAAGATTACATGTAAAGGACATCCACTTTTTTACTAGGTCCTTCACAAGTACATGAATCCTTTTAACAAGTCTTTTTAAATATTTTTCTTTTACTACCACAATAGCAAAAGATTGGTATTGTTAAATCCTTTTATTAGTCCCTCTTATTCAAGTATTAGTAAACTAGCATCTGTATTTAGCTAAATACCACGATAGCAAAAGATTGGTATTGTTAGATCCTTTTATTAGTCCCTCTTATTCAAGTATTAGTAAATTAGCATCTGTATTTAGCTAAATAAATATAAAGTAGAAACTCTTTATACTTAGCTTGACTTTTTAGTTTTTATTTACTTTATTTTACACTAGTTTTGACAAAAAAACATTAGTCCTTCAATATTACTATAAAATAACTTATTTTGTCCATCAAACACCATATATATTGGTCTCATTTAGTCCTATTAGATATTTATAGAAAATGTCTAAATCAGCAATTGAGGCATATCTATGAAATGTAGAGGTTATTCTACACAATAGTATTATAAAATTCATAATTTAACAAAATAAGGTTTCTAGTTTTCAATTTTTATTTTATAGTAATTTTAGATATGTATCCTACTCTAGATCAAATTTTGAAGTTATATCTTTCTCTTCTTTCAAAAACTAGGGTTCTCTAGTTCTTCTATTTTGACTTCCAAGAGTTTGTCTTTATTAAATGGTGTCTTTTATTTACTAGATAAACACAAAAAAAAACTTGTATAATTTTATTGAGTACAAAACTAATAAAGAGCTTTTCAAGAACTTTAAAAGTACTAACGGAGAGGGATGTTGCTTGTGAATTACATGCTAAGGTTGTTTTGATGTATCAATTGAAACCATTTGTTTAATGGTGTTCACTTCCATTCACAAATATTTACCTTACCTCATTACCATAAAAAAATGTTAAAACTATACTTCATTTTGCACTTTCTTTAACTGATTTCTCTTTCCCCTTTTCTCTAGTTGGAGCATTTGGGCTGTTATTGCAATGATCATTTGCACCTATACCTATATAACCATCACCTTTAATCTCTCATCTTTATCATTGTAGAATTTGTTGCATTGGGCTTTCAAGTTTTTAAATACCTCCATTTGTATTTGAACATGTTATTGAGAAATATTGATTAACAATCTAGTTTGTACTGATTTGAAAATTTCTATTTTTTCTAACTTCCATGCAATATCAATTTATATTAATTCTTCCATCTTGTTTTAATTTTGTAATAAAGTTCTATTTTACCTTGGCTATACCTTAAGTTACGGCCACTCTAAACATATGTTTGTATAAACTTATTTATATCTTTAAGTATCTTTCTATCCAAATTTCATGATGCAATTAAGAACAATATTTCCTAAGCATTATTTTGTTCACAACCACACACATGAAAAAAATGACAATTTATATGATGTCTAAAACTTTAATTATTCTTTGAACTTTTTCATTGCTTTTTGATTATATAGGAGTGGATCATTTATACAACCTATTAGAATCCAATATATATTGTAATGTCATTTCTTTTAACCCACTTGAAATCTGATTTAACCCCCCATGTAAATGGATTTAATTCTAGAAGCAAAATGCCAACTAATTTATAGTTAATCTTAGTTAACAACTTTATTAAACTCTATTTAGATTTTTTAGGGTCCCTTTTGCAATATCCACAAAAGCATTAGACTTGAATTCAACCTCAACAACCAGTGCTATATCTTAGAGCAAATCAAGTAACATCAATCTTTGAGGACTATTTTTCCTCACTAAGTAATATGATAGAACATTGCCTACAAAAGAAACAACAAGGGACACCCTTGCCATATTAAATACTATTATATATAATTTTTTCAATTTTCCATCAATTGTGACATTGCTAACTACATCTTAGTATAGAGCAGCTATTTATCTTATAAATTTATTTGGTATACCAATACTCCTCATAATTGCCTATTAAAATATCAACTCTATAATCAACTTTTTCATAGTCTAATAAAATCAAGGCTCTCAACACTTTTTTATCATTGATTTGTAATTGTTAAAATTACCTTGTGTACATTATCCACTAACTATCTCCCTTCCACAAAATACTTTTATGTATAATGTAGCCTCTGATAATATTGATCTTAATCTCTTAGTAAATACCTTCACAATTACCTTGTATAGCATATTGAGCATTAATATCAATCTTCAATTCTTGATAAGAGCTGCATCATCATGTTTTTGTATAAATGTTATAATCTTAACAATTG